GCGCCCATGGGCCTGCTGTTTTGCAAGGCTGGGCGGGCTGCCGGTGGCACCGAGCCTCCCTGGGAGCGGGGCAGTGCCCACCTGCAGCACCGGGACAGGCAGGGACTTGACGCTGCATCAGTAGAAGGGCTTAAAAACAGGGGGGAGGATTTGCCGCGGAGCAAAGCTCCCCTGCCTCGCTGCTTAGGGGCGGTGTGTTTGCACGGCCCTGCGCGGAGCTGACCCCGTGCAGCACTGGCAGACCTCGGCTGCAGGAGGGGAAAGGGCGGATTGAGCAAGGATCCTGCTTAACCTCATCCTACTGGGTTTGGGGCTCTTGTCTTTCCGCACTGCAAACCCTGGGCGCGTAGGTTTGCGAGGGTCCTGAAGGCGCCTCTCCTTCCCGCAGGCCAAGCTGAAGAACATGGAGACCTCCCTGCGGGGTAAGGTGAAGGATTTCGGGGCCGTGCGTCGCTCCTACGAGTCCATCTCCAAACACAACCGGGTGCGTGGTCCCTCCTGGCAGGGAGGCAATGGGCCTGATCCTGACACACGCGTGCACACGCGTGCACATGCCCCGGGCGGGAATGCAACTGGCTCTGGGGTGGAGTGCTGCACCCATCCTGGGCTGCTCCGCTCTTAAGTGAGGAGAGCAATGCTGGGGGGAGGAAGGACTCAGATGGGGAACTGGGGTCCAGGGTGATGGGGCTGTGCCTGCCGTGGCAGCAGGGACACTGATTTTGGGAGGGCAGCGTGGTCCTAGTGGGATCTCGGCAAGTCCCTGAGCGCTGGAGCTGGTCAGAGGGCTCCAGAGGAGCATTTAGGGAGAGGACGCGGGGAACCTAGGGGAGTTGGGGGAGGGAGGTGGTGACGTCCCTCCACGGGGCAGGTGGAAGCGACGCGGCTGGAGGAGCAGATCAGGAGGGAGTTTGAGAAGCTGCACGAGTTCCTGTGGGGCGAGGAGAAGGCGCTGCTGGCCCAGCTGCAGGAGGAGACGCGGCACAAGCACGACCTCATCGAGGGCAAGGTGAAGCAGCTGGCAGAGGAGAGCCGGGCCCTGCTCCATGAAGCCCACCAGCTCCAGGCAGAGCTCAAGGAGGATGACTACACCTTCCTCATGGTAAAGCCCTGCCGGGGTGCTGCCCCATGCCCTGCGGGGCGTCACCCTCGCCGTGGCACCCTCCTGCCTCTTGCTGGGGTGCGAGCAGGGTGCTGGGCGATCCTTTGGGTGTTTGCAAGCCCCCGTGACCTCTTACAAGTTGGGGTCTGACGCCCGGTGTCTCCTTCTCTTTCAGACCCACAAGACCCGCAAGCGCAGGTAAACCCAGCGCGGCAGGCCCCCGCCATGTCCCCTGCCCGGTGACACAGGGTGCTCGGGGTGCCTGAGGCCCCGCATCCCCTCCCTGGGGCTGAACGGGGGTCTTCTGCCTGGCTGCAGAGTGAAGTCTCTGCCCCAAGCGAGTTCCCGTACCCGCCTGTCCCCTCTGGGTCTGGGTGCTCCGGCAGAAGCAGGTGCTGGGGGTCCCCAAGGCCAGGCAGCACCCCTGGGTGCCTCCAGGCAGGATGGGGGGGCGTGCATGCAGACACAGAGCAGCATTGCAGGTCTTGGGGGAAGCTTTAAATCCCTGATGGTTGGGGGATTTGGGACCCTCCCAGCGTGATCCTCCACCCTCGCGGGGTGAGAGCAAGGTTTGGCAGACGTGGGGTGCTGGTGGGGAAGCCCCTGCCAAAACACAGGGTGTCAGGAGACCCAGCCCGGTCCCTTCCTCCGTCGCTGACCTGTCTCCATCCGCTGCCCCAGGATCGCCTGCACGGCTGAGGAGCCGGAGGCCGTCTCCTCGGGGATGCTCCTCGACAGCGCCAAGTACCTGGGCTCCCTGCAGTACAACGTGTGGAAGAAGATGCTGGACA